AATAAATTCCTAATCTCTCACCATTCTGGCCTCATGCATTACTCCTTCAGGGACCTAACACCCACTACATCGTAGGACATATTTGTCAATGATACATCTGATAAGGGTTAATCTCCAAAATACTTAAATAACTCATACAACTCAACAGCTGGAAGACAAACAATCCAATTTTTTTTTAAAAAAATGGGCAAAGGACCTAAATAGACAGTTCTCCAAAGATGACAGACAGATAGCCAGGAGACATATAAAAAAAAAAGAAAAAGAAAAAGAAAGAACAATGCTCTTCATCACTAATCATTATTTCATAATGAAATATCAACTCACACCTACCAGAATAGCTATCATCAATAAATCAACAAACAACAAGTGCTGGCAAGGATGTGGAGAAAATGAAGCACATTTAAGGTGGCCAGGATATGGAAACAACTTAAGTGTCCTTCACCAGATGATTGGATAAAGATGATGTGTGAATATTTACAATGGAATACTACTCTGCCATTAGAAATTTTGCACTGAGCAGTGGTCATTGAGCAGATGGGACTCCTCTGGTGCACCTCGTTCTGCTTCCTCAGCAACCGTGTCAGACAAACCTGATGTGGCTGAGATTGAGAAATTTGAAGTCATAACTGAAGAAAGAAATGCAAGAGAAAATCCACTACATTCAAAAGAAGCAATTGGATAGTGATAGATCCTCTCTTCCTCCAACTGATGGATGGACATAAACTCCACCTGCAGCCAGACATTCCTGAGCTTGAACCACCAATCAGCACCTGCCAAATCCCTAATCACCAATCAGCGTGTGCTGAGTGCCCTAAGCCCCCCCCCCCCGTCCCCTATCTTCCTTAAAAGGTGGTGCACCCAGGCCCTGGCTCTCTTCCTCTCTTTCTCTGGAAGCAGCTGGCAGTGGTACTCTTCTCTTCAATAAAGCCTGTGTTCTGGCATCGCTGTCTCTCGGCCCACTCTATTTCATCTTTCAGACAGAAGCAAGCAGGCAAATTGTAATGAGGCACATGCCAATATGCACTGCACATTAAAAGCATTGCCTTCTTATTTTTATTTAATTTTGTAAAATGCAAAGAGGTTAGATCAGTTTAAATGGCTATGCTGCCCTTTGCACATCAGAGAACTGCTGAGAAGGGCTGCTCTATGCAAAGGGCTGGGGCTTTGCACCAAGGTTGTTAAATTTCCCATGATAACAGGCAGCTCCCGGGGGGAGGATGGGCCATATTTCCTGAGAGCTCCCAGCTAGGTTAAATGTGCTTTCTTTAATCAACAAAGCAATCATAGTGAACAGAATATTAAGATTTCTCACAATTCTAGCTAGTCCCCAACATTCTACTTCTGGCCTTATTATTTCCCCACTGCTATTTCTATCATCTCATGTCTATGAGATTAGTTTTGGTGGAAAATCTCATCCTGCTGGACTGCATTTGCTTCTGCCTTGAAAGTAGTTCTTTGGGATGGAACACAGTGAATTCAGGACCTATAAAGAGGAAGACTTTGAACAGAGCAGCATCCATCTTATTATAAAAACTGCTGTTTGAAAATTTAACCCTGCTATTTTGGATTCTGTAAATGCTTGCTTGCTTAAATAATAAGAAAAATAAGACTACTCCCACTTCAGAAAGGGCATTAAACCTTCTCCAGATGAAGTTATCAGTGCTGGCACCAGGCCAACCCTTTGGTTGAGGTCTCAAGGCCCCAGCACATAAGGGCTCTTTAAGAACTTGCAAAGGGGGCAGAAACTTTCCCTATTTATATGTTTTCAAAGAAGGTAAAAACATATAAGTAGGGAAAGTTCCTCCATGTTGGGGCCCAGAATTTGAGAGACACTTTCCTCTGGGCCCATGCATCATCATCATCATCATCATCATCATCATCACAATAATAATAAATATAACTCCATCTCTCTAAGAGTTGCTTTGTTCATCTCAGGTTTTCTGTTACAAAACCATAACAATTTTAGAAGAAAACATAAGCAATAAAATATCAGGCATTTCTTGTAGCAATATTTTTTCGGGCAAAGGAAACAAATAAAATAAAAGCAAATTGGACTACATCAAAGTAAAAAATTTGTGTTGGTGGTGGTGGTGTATGGGACAATGCTTCAAGGGCCAGCAGAGTATTGTGCTAAGTAAAATAAGCCAGTCAGAGAAATACAAATGCCATATGATTTCACTCATATGTGGAATCAAACAAACAAGCAAAATAGAGACAGACTCATAGAGGGAGTGCAGGCAGACAGCCCTGGTTGAGAAGGTGAAAGGGATTGAGAAAAAAAAGAGAGGGAACTCAAGGACTTGGAGAACAGTGTGATAACTGTGGGGGCGGGGTGTGTGTGGAAGAGGGGATAAATAGTGATGGGGAAAAATAAAATAAAATTTAAAAGTTTTTGCACAGCAAAGGAAACCATCAACAAAACAAAAAGACTACTTACTGAACAGGAGAACATAGTCCTGAATGATACATTTAATAAGGAGTTAATACCCAAATTTTTAAAAGAACTTACACAACTCAATGCCAAAAAACACACAATTCAATTAAAAAATGGCAAAGGACCAGAACAGACATTTCTCCAAAAAGAACATGCATGTGGCCAATAGATATATGACAAGATGCTCGACATCTCTAACCATCAGAGATGTAAATTAAAACCACAATGAGATGACCCCTCACACCTGTCAGAATGACTGTCATCAATAAATCAACAAACAAGTGCTGGTGAGGATATGGAGAAAAGGGAACCCTCTTGCACTGCTGGTGGGAATGCAGACTGGTGCGGCCACTGTGGAAAACAATATGGAGTTTCCTCAAAAAATTAAAAATGGAATTGCCTTATTATGTAGCAATTACACTTCTGGTAAATAAGAAACCAAAAAGATTAATTTGAAAAGATATATGCAGCTCTATTTTCATTGCAGTTTTATGTACAATAGCCAAGATATCAAACAACCCCAAGTGTTCATCATTAGATGAGTGGTAAAGTGCTGGCACATATACACAATGGGACATTACTCAACCATTAAAAATAATGAAGTTTTACCAGTTTCAATGGCATGAAGGATCTGGAGAGATTATGCTAAGTGAAATATGCCAGATTAAGAAAGACAAATGCCATATAATTTCACTTACATTTGAATCTAAAAACAAAACAATAACATAAAAACCAAAGTGGAAACAGACTCATAAAGAAAACAAACTGATGGTTGCCAGAGAAGAGAGGAGGTGGGAGTCTGGATAACAAGGATGAAGGGGTTCAGAAGTACAATTTGGTAGTTAGAAAACAGTCATGGGTTGTAGAGGGAATATAGTTAATGATATGGTCAATAGTCAATAATATGGGCAGACCTACATATGGTGACAGTTGGTTAATAGAAATATTAAGGGAACACTTGTAAAGTATATGCTTGTGTAGCCATTATGCTAGACCCATGAAAGTAAAATAAAGTAATGTTGAATATCAACTGTAATAATAAAGCTTTAAAATAAATTTTAAAATTGCCATAAGGTTACGTTTGTATTTCTAGGGCAGCACAAATGAAAGTTTGACAACACTAAACTGGCGAGTGTGAGGAGCCACGGGAATGTTCGTCCCCTTCCATGCGAGGCACCACTTCCTCGGGTCAGTTAAGACACTCACAAGCACTGTGACTCAGCAACCCATTCTTAACTTTGTAAAGAGTGAGGTGGTTTCTCACATGTGCCAGCAGACACCCAAAATGTCCAGAATATCTAGGTTGTCCCAAATAGAAAACATTAGTGTTTGTTCTCTACTTATTTTATTCTTCGGTAAAAGATTCTGCCTCACTTTGACATATTACTCCTTTACCACCGGGGTTGGGTGTTCCTTTTTGTGGTGGGGGACTGCTTGTAGGTTTTATGTATAATCCTGTGCCTTGCGAGGACCAATCAATTAGTAATACTCATGATAATATACTGAGCTATTTGTCATGTCTACTATTGATATGTGAGCACTCAAAAGGGCAACGAAACAGCCTGGCTAGCATGGTTTACTGGTTGAGCATTGACCTATGAACCAAGAGGTCTCAATTGGATTCCTGGTCAGGGCACATGCCTGGGTTGCGGGCTTGATCCCCAGTAGGAAGCATGCAGGAGGCAGCTGATCAATGATTCTCATTATTGATGTTTCTATTTCTCTCTCCCTCTCCCTTTCTCTTTGATTTCAATAAAAATATTTTTTATAATGCAAGGAAACAATTTTTATTTGCCTTTGTATATTAGATAACATGCCACCATAAAGGAAGGGATGAATAAATCAATGAATGAATGAATGAATGAATGAATGAATGAATGAATACTTGCTCATTTGACTTGACTTCCATTCCAGTCTCCCAATCCTTCAATAATGTTTAAAAACTACCTCTACAGCAAGCATCTTAGGTTTACCTTAGCTTCAATCTGAAGTTGGAGTATTTTAATCCTTTTTCATGTGCGCATTATGCTCCACTAATTTGCATTGCTCTCTGCATGTCTGTCAAATCATCTTTGAGCATGTGATTGATATTCAATATCAGATCCATAAGGCACACACTGTTTTCCAAATACATAGCATTCAATAAGAATATATCATTAAGTGCAAGGACTCTTCCTTTCAGTGAAGCAATTTTGTTGTTTTCTTCTTGCACATACTACAGAATCATCACCAGATCCAGCAGAATTGAATCTCTGTGGCAGAGCACATAGAAGCCATCTCAATCTTAACCCTTCCTGAGTAATGTTTGAACATATGCCATGCATGAGTTAGCAGCTAAAGAAAGACCACAAATATGGTCTTACTTTGATGTTTATCCTTTTTCACACGAATGCTGCACTACATTAACCTCAATGCTGTCTTCATTCCTTCTCAAATCATTTCAAGTTCACATACTGCACTTCAGCGAACAGAGGCTCTCGATGAGGTTGCAACTAAAATTCAGAAGGAGCTTCCAAATATGATCCCATTTGATCCCTGAGAAGCTTTCCCAGAGGGTTAGACTCACCTTTACTGAAAAACGTGCAGACCATAAAGCTGAAGAGGATTGTGGAGATGGCGAAACACAGCAAGAAGACAAAAACAAGGGTCAGGTCACTGTGCTGGAGGATCGCTGCAGGTTCCAGCTAGCAAAACAACCAGAAGCCAGATTAGTCACACCCTCAGAGATCAGGGCAACACAAAAACGGAGACGAAACATCTGTCAGTGGTTTTTTGTTTGTTTGTTTGTTTTGTTTTGTTTTTTAATATATCTTATTGATTTTTTTTTTTTTTTTTACAGAGAGGAAGGGAGAGAGATAGAGAGCTAGAAACATCGATGAGAGAGAAACATCAACCAGCTGCCTCTTGCACACCCCCGACTGGGGATGTGGGGGATGTGCCCGCAACCAACTTACATGCCCCTGACCAGAATAGAACCCGGGACCTTTCAGTCTGCAGACCAACGCTCTACCGCTGAGCCAAACCGGTTTCCATAGTCTGTCAGTGTTTTAACAGTCCTGCTGAGCCTGGTGGCAGCGCTCAGGGGGATGGAGAATAAACAGTCCCTGCACGGAAGCTCCACGCATTAGGTTAAAGGCCACTCGGTCAGGGATGGAGCAGGCAAACGCTCATTCTCTGGCAGCCCGATGCAAGCAGCCCACCCCAGGTCTCTGTTTCCCTCTTAAAGGTGAGCTGCAGCAAACAGACACTTGCCTTTATAAAGAAAACCAGGCATATCAAACAGATGAGAATGATGTACAAAATGAGAAACGTGATGAAATAGGCAGCCCAGAGCATCCAATCGCTGACTCCTATCATGAGCTGGTACTCCTGTGGAAGAGTGAACACAAACCAAATGTATAAAATCTGTACTTGTATAAAATGCATTCACAACATAATCTGATTTGCTTTTCACTACAACCACACATGGGCTACGGGATATCACGCCCAGTTCATGGAGACAGAAGTCAAAGCTCAGAATGTCACGTGGCTTGATTACAGAACGGCCATGTAATGATGCTTACAAGTTCTGACATGATTTATCCAGAATCGGTTATTGTTAAAACACACACACACACAAAAACCACTTAAACAAAACTATAAACTACTTAGATCAACAATTCCTTCCTATTAATTACATCCTCTTCCAGATGGCACTAAAGAAATATACACCACCATGAGTGAATGCTAATTTAAACTCAGACTATAAATTATTTTGATGTGTTAATGCAGGTTCATCAAATAGACCACCCTGGTGGGGGATGTGGATAATATGCATGTATGGGGGCAATATAGGGAATCTGTAAAACTCGGTTTTGATGGACTTTGAAGACATTGTGCTAAGTGAACTAAGTCAAACAAAGAAAGATAACTACATATGGAATCTAAAAAAAAGAGATACAACAAAAACCAGCACACAGATAGAAAACATACTGGTGGCTGCCAAAAGTGGGAGAAGAGAGGTGGGTGAAATGGGTGAAGAGGATCAAAAGGCACAATTTCCAATTATACGGTAAATAAGTCATGGAAACGTGATGCACAGCTGAGTGCTATAATAATACTGTTTTATATGTATTTGTTTTTGTGTATGTATTTGTTATTTTTAAATATGTCTTTATTGATATTTTAAAGAGAGGAAGGGAGAGGAATAGAGATAGAAACATGGATAAGAAACTTCATGGATCGACTGCCTCCTACACACCCCCAACTGGGGATTAAGTCCACAACTATGTTATGTACCCTGACAGGAATCCAACTAGTAACCTTTTGGTTCATGGGTTGATGCTCAACTACTGAGCTACACTGATCAGGCTGTATTATATATTTAAAAGCTGCTAGAGAGTAGATCCTAAAAATCCTCATGACATGACAAAAAAAAACTTGTAACTATGTCTGGTGATGAATGTTAATCATTTCACAATGTATACAATACAGAATCACTTTTCTACTCCTAAAACTAATATAATGTTATATGTCAATTATACCTCAATAAAAACAAACTTTATTTCTTTTTCTCTCCCTCCCTTCCTCCTTTTCTTTCTTTCCCTCCCTCCTTTCCTTCCTTCCTTCCTTCCTTCCTTCCTTCCTTCCTTCCTTCCTTCCTTCCTTCCTTCCTTCCTTTTCTCTTCTTTTAAATGGCTTTCTATAGGTTCTTAAACAAGATGCTTAAATCATTGATTACCTGTCTTCATTTTTAATAATAGTCATTAAAAGCTATAAATTTCCCTTACAGCTCAGATTTAGCTGCACATCAGCAATTTTGAGTTGTATTTTCACTATTATTCAGTTTGAAATATTTTCTAATTCTTTGTAACATAGTCTTTGAGCTATTGATTAATTATAAGTTTGTTTAATTACACAAATACTAGAGTTTTGCTAGATAACATAGTTACTGAGTCTTAATTTTCCATCTATTATTATTTTTAAAATGTGCTTGTATTATTTCATTGCTTTTAAGTTTGATACTTGTTGTTTTGTTTTTTTTACAACATATGGCCCACTTCCAAATATTTGCTTTTTCTCTACATGTACTGCATTTATTAAATCTATAATTCAATTCCACTTTGATAAGAAACTATTCTCTATAACTTTAAGTATATAGTCTATCAGTGCACTTGAAAACAATATGTATTGTGCTATTATCAAGTATAGTCTTTTATAAACATTACTTAGGTTAAGGTAGCTGAGAGTATTGTTGAGTCTCATTTTAGATCCAAAAACACAAATGGATTAAAGTGAAAAGATGGAAAAAGATATTCCATGCAAGCGGTAACCAAGAGAGCTAGGGTAGCTATACTAATAACAGATAAAATATACTCAAATCAAAACTGCTACAGGAGATAAAGAAAGAATTGTATGTTGAAAAGAGGATCAATTTATCATGAAGGTATAATAATTATAACATGTATGCATCAACAACACAGTTCCAAAATACAAGAATAAAAAATTACAGGATTAGCCTGGCCACTGTGGCTCAATGGTTGAATATTGATCAATGAACCAAGTGGTTCTATTCCTGGTCAGGGTATATGCCTGGGTTGCAGGCTCAATCCCCAATAGGGAGCATGTGGTTTCTCTCATCAATGTTTTTGTCACTCTATCCCTCTACCTTCTCCTCTTTCTAATAATCAATAAAACATATTTTTTAATTATAGAATTAAGGGAGAAATATTCTACAATAATAGCTGGACATTTCACTATACCACTTTCAATAATAGACAGAACAACTGGACAGAAGATTAATTTAAAAATAAAGGACTTTTTTCAGCTGGCATAGCTCAATGGTTAAGCGTCAATCTATGAATCAGGAGGTCTCAATTCAATTCTTGGTCAGGGCACATGCCTGGGTTGAGGGCTCAATCTTCAATGGGGGACATGCAGGTGGTAGCTAATCAATGATTCTCTCTCATAGTTGATGTTTCTATCTCTTTCTTCCTCTCTGAAATATAAATATTTTAATATAGGACTTGAACAACACTATAAATCAATTGAAGCTACTGACAGAACACACTACCCAATTACAACAGACTACAGATTTTTTTCAAGTGTGCACAGAATATTTCCTATATGCCCTCGGGATAGACAATATGCTAGGCCACAAAATAAGTTGTACTACATTTAAGAAGATAAATCATAAACAGTATCTTTTCTAAAGACAATGTATTAAAACTAGAAACCAATAACAAAAGGAAAACTAAAAAATTCAAATATTTGGAAGCAACACAATCTTAAATAACCAATGAGTCAAAAATAATCAGAACAGAAGGAGAAAATACCTTGAAACAAATCAAAACAAAAACTCAGCACAACAAACTTACAGGAGGCAGTGAAAATAGGTCTCAGAGGGAAATTTGCAGACATAAATGCTTATACTAACCAAGAAGAAAGGTCTCAAATCAGTTACCTGAGTTCACACCTTCGAGAACTAAAAAAGAAAACTAAAGCTAAAGCTAGAAGAAGGAAGAAAATAATAAAGCTCAAAGTAGATAAATAAAATAGATAATAAACAATAGAGAAAATCAATAAACACAAATACCAACAGAATTGACAAAATTTTAGCCAAATAATTAAATTAGAAAAAAAAACACCTCAAATTATTAAAATAAAAAATGAAATTGGAGATGTTACTTCTAATATTGCAAAAGTAAAAAGGATCTTAGAGCACACTATAAATGGCTGTATGCCAAGTAATTGGGTAACTTCGATGAAATGGATAAATTTCCAGAGACACACAACCTGCCAAACTGAATTATGAAGAAACAGAAAATCTGTTAGTAATTAGTAAGGAGATCAAATCACTAATCAAAACCTTCCAACAAAGAACATCCCTGGACCAGAGCCTTACCTGGTGAATGCTACCCAATATTTCAAGAATAATAAACAGCAGTTCCTCTCAAACTCTTCCAAAAATCTGAGGAAGAGGGAACACATCCTAATTCATCCCATGAGATCAGTATTACTGTGGTACCCAAGTCAGACAAATACACAGGCAAAGAAATTACAGAACAATATGTCTTATGAATATTGATGCAAAATCCCTCTACAAAATAATAGCAAACCAAATTTGGCCACATATTGGAAGGATTGTGCAGCATGACCAAGTAGAATTTATTCATGGAATATAAAAGGGTTCAACATATAAAATTAATTAATATAAAACACCACATTCAGAAAATTAGGGAAAAACACATTATCATCTCAACTGATGCAGAAATTGAAAAACCGATAAAACACTAAAAAACCTGGGAATATATGGAATCCTCCTCAATATAACAAAGGCCATATGTAAAAACTATAGCTCTTTCACCTGAGATTGGGGAAAAGGCAATGCTGCCGGACTTTGGTGCTTCTATTCAGCCTAGTTCTATAAGCTGTAGTCAGAGCAATTAGGAAAGCAGAGGTATCCAAATTGTAAAAGAATCAGTAAAAGTATTGGTAGATGGTATGATCTTGTATGGAGCAAACCATAAAGATTCCACGCACAAAAAGTTAGAATTAATAAATGATTCATCAAAGTAAAAGGATACAAAGTCAATAAGCAAAAATCAGATGAATACTATGCAGTACCAGTGAGCTATCTGAAATGGAAATTAAGTAAATTATTTCATCTACAATAGCATAAAAAATAATAAAATACTTAGAAATTAACCAGTGAGGTGAAACACTTGTACAAATGAAAAGTGAAAACTCAATCAACTTTTCAGGCCAACACATTCACCAAACTTTTGAAAATTGCCAAGTGTTGGTAAAGATACAGAAAAATCGAAACTTTCAAAAATCTAAACTTTCAAATAAGGAAATTTAATTGGTAGAGCTTTATTGGTAAACTTTCATGTTATCTACTAAAGCTAAATATGCATAACCTAACATTTTGCAAAAACAAACAAACAAAAACCTACATATAAAAAATGTTCATAGATGCATTACTAATAATACCCACACTCCACACAATAAAGAAAAATAGTGATAGTCATACTATGGAATGTTAAAACTTATAAAACTCAACAAATATCAATGAACTACAGCTACATCTGTAGCAGAATGAATCACAGAGACACAAAATAGTGCACGATTACATTTATATCAAGTTTAAACACAGATAAAATTAACCAATAATAAGTGTTTTGAGGGTACAAGCAGCCTTCTATTGTGGGCAGTGTTTTATCTCTTAGCAGGGTCGTGATAAAGTGGTCCTAGTTTCTTTATGATAAATCCATTCAACTACTCTGCTCTAGCTGGAATGTTTGTGTTCCCTCAGCATCCTATCTGAAAATCAGATCTGCAATGCGATGACACGCTAACGGGGCCTCTGAGAGGTAACAAGGTGATGCTGCTTTTACAAAGGAGGCCTGGGAGTTGTTCTTGCTCTTTCCACTTGGTGGCTACACAATGAGAAGGTGCTACTTATGAAACATGAAGTAGGTTCTCACCAAACACCAATAATGTTGGCACCTTGACCTTGGACTTTTTAGCCTCCAGAACTGTAAGAAATAAATTTCTATTATTCATAAGCTACCTTGTTTGTGGTATTTTTGTTACAGCAGCCTGAATAGATTGACATGTACATGTAGTTTAGACACTCTTTCTGGGTGTATGCATGTTATACTTCAATGAGAAATTTTAAAATAAAAGAGAACCAGTATTTTAAGTCATATGGTTGATGTTTGTGTATCATGTTCTGGGGACCCAAAAGAAAAAGTGTTAATTTATCATTGATAATTTCACAGATTTATCAAAAATTCAGAAGTCAGAAATTAGTAAACAGTTATTGAAGTTGAATTTTATCTAAATTCACCTAGACACAATTTCACAAACCAAATTAGTTATTTATTTGTATTTCACCTTATTCCAGGTATATTTTAGAACATTTAGCATATAAATTCTATCTGCAATATTCTTGTGAAGTTGTCTTCTAGAATTAAAACTAAACACCAAACCAAAAATTCCAATAAAGACAAAGTTTTAAGAAATTGCCTGAAGATGTAAGTGCTCACTTCTTGTCTGCTACTGAATCATAACCACCCACCAATACTAATGGGTAGAAATAATCCAACCTTCCAGAAAAGTTTTCCTAAAAGTTTATTTCCTTCATTAGATTCCACATATAGTACTTGTCTTTCTCTGACTGGTTTATTTCACTTAGTATAACAAACAAAATAGAAACTGACTCAGATACTGAGAACAGAATGACAGCTGTTGGGGGGGAGGGGTCTTAGGCAAAAAAAGGTGAAGGGATTAAGGAAAAAATACATCATGGACTCAGATAACAGTGTGATGATTATCAAAGGGAAAGGGGATGGGACAGGTAGGAGAGGGAAATGGGGGATAAATAATGATGGGAAGAGACTTGACTTGGGGGATGAACACACAATACAACATAGAGATGATGTATATAGAACTGCACACCTCAAACCTACATAATTTTATTAACCAATGTCACCCCAATAAATTCAATAAAAAATTTTTAAACATTGCCTGAAAGAGCCAACACTTTCCACAGAGCTCTATGTCACAAGAAAGTGGAATTACCTTCAATCGGTTTTCCTTTTCCCACACAACAGACTGAATGATGGTAATATAATTCACAAAGAAGAGAGCTATGATTAATGAAGGGCCGAGATAAAAAAATATTTTATAGAAACTATCATCATCATATTTTGGGTATGGAAATCTCTGAACAAATACATGGACATTTTTAAACAACTGTTCTGCAGTCTTGCGATTATGGTATTTCATGATGGCCTTATCCAAGGCGTGTTGCATAAGCAGGAACCCTTCAGAGATGTACCCTAAATAAGAAAACAAGGGTTACTAAGTACAACAGAACAATAAATAGTTAAGCTGAACAAAGGAAAAGGCAATAAAAGTATGTCAAAGATAAACAACAAAGTTAATGCTGTGATGAGGCCCTTGCCAATCTAAATGTATAAAAACCTATTTAGTAAGTACTAAATTTCCATTTATTATGTACACTTTACCACCAGGGGTCTTCAAACTACGGCCCGCGGGCCACATGCGGCCCGCAGAGGAGTCTGATCCGGCCCGCCAGGTTTTTTGGGCAGTGAGCGCAGCCGAGGTGTTACAGTAGGAATTAGTAGTTCATATAGTCCGGCCCTCCAGCTCTCTGAGGGACCGTGATCTGGCCCCCACTTTAAAAAGTTTGAGGACTCCTACCACAATAAAAAAGAGTTTTAAAAAATGTACACACAGCTATCATGGTTCCCCCATACAAATACATAACACTTTTTTTTTAAAGATCCTAATTTGCCCTAACCAATTTGGCTCAGTGGATAGAGCATTGGCTGTGGACTCAAGGTTCCCACGTTCAATTCCAGTCTAGGGCATGTACATTGGTTGTAGGCACATCCCAGTAGGGGGTGTGCAGGAGACAGCTGATTAATGTTTCTCTCTCATCAATGTTTCTAACTCTCTCTCCCTCTCCCTTTCTCTCTGTAAAATAAATAATAAAATAAAATAAATCAATGAAATATTAAAAAAAAAGATCCTAATTTCCAGCTTCCCAGAATTAAATATTATGAGTAATTATAGAGCTGCTTTCTGCAATTTCAATCAAGTGAAGAGCACTGTATTAATTACTGGACAGGGAAAGACTTTGATTCTGTGCTTTGACATTTGAAAAAGTAAATGAAACTCAAATTGAGTGAGTTATATGAACTGATGTCTACTCTGGCAATGCTACTCAGTGAGCCTTAGATCTGTCACAGTATGCAAATACTCTCTTATTGGTAGACCAATTTACTATAGAAATTAAAAGCAAACACTTAAAAACTTTTATAGAAATTTGGCATTGCCATGACATCTAAAAACTGGTCTTTCTATTAATCTACATAAATCCTTTAAAGGCTTTAAATATAAATCATGTGTCATTTTCTCCACTGTGAAAGATGCTTTTTAATTTTTTAATAGTCTTTCATATGATCATAAGTACTTATTAGGACTAGTAATAATTAATGTCGTTTTCTAATACTTTTTTAAATCGATTTAAACAATACAACAAAATTTAATCAACAATATAGTTGCCATTGTTTTCTACTACTTGTGCCTAATGCTCAGGAAGCATTTTAATCCCTCTGTTGTAAAATTCTTGTGATTTTGATGCAAAAAATTCGGTCAATGCATTTTTGAGGCATTCTTCATTATTAAATTTTTTTCCAAGAAGAAAGTTTTGCAAAGAACGAAACAAATGGTAATCGGAAGGGGCAATATCAGGAGAATATGCAGGTTGAGGGAGAACTTCCCATTCCAACTGGCGCAGTTTTTCAGCAGTGATTCTTGCAGTATGCAGTCGTGCATTATCGTGGTGAAGAATTACGCCCTTCCGATTAATCAGCGCGGGTTCTTTTTCTCTTAAAGCTTGGGCTAACCTTTCCAATTGGGCACTATACACTGCACTTGTAATGGTTTGGTTAGATGGAAAAAGTTCATAATGAAGAATTCCTTTAAAATTCCACCAAACACACAGCATCACTTTTTTCGCATGCAAGTCAGGTTTTGGCGTGGGCTGCGGAGCCTCATTTTTGTCCAACCATTGAGGCCGCCTTTTCAAATTAACATACAGCAACCATTGTTCATCTCCGGTAACAATTTGCTCTAAAAATGGCAAACGGTTTTGACGAGAGAGGAGCGAACTGCAAATTGTGACTCTTTGATTACGGTTGTTGTCGGTCAACTCATGAGGAACCCTTTTTCCAAACTTTTGGACTTTGCCAAGTGCACGCAATTGATTGGAAATTGTTTTTTGTGAACAATTTAAAGTTGTCGCAAGGTCTTGTTGGGTAATTTGAGGATTTTGCACCAAAAGAGCTTGAAGAGCTTCTTGATCAAAATTGGACACACGGCCTCGACCACTCTTGTCATCTAACGAAAAATTTCCCTTGCGAAATTTCTCAAACCAACGCTGGCATTTTCTGGCGCTAACTGCATCTTGACCAAGAGCACTACAGATGTTTTTTGCAGCCTCACTTGCTTTTCTTCCTAATTGGAACTCGTAAAGCATGCAGTGCCGAATATGCTCTTCATCCGCCATCTTCTTAGCCCTAGTTTTGCAACAAAAACCAAACCAAACACAAACTTTTTCAAGCAAAACTTGTTAATTGCACTTCACACGTTCTGTAGATACCACGTGTTTGAAGGTTATGTCAATACAAGTCAACGCCAAGCAAGATTTTAAACGAATGTTTAAAAACGACATTAATTATTACTAGACCTAATAATTTTAATAAAGTTCAATTTATCATTTTTTCTTCTGTAGTAAACTAGAGGCCCAGTGCACAGATTTGAGCACTAGTGTGGGTCCCTTGCCCTGGCTGGTGATCAGGGCCAATCAGGGCCTACCCAATCACTATCGGGGCCCATTGGGGCTGGTCAGCTAGAGGAAGGGACCACAGGAGGTTGTCTGGCCATGGGAGGTTGGCTGTGAGAGCACACTGGCCACCAGACGGCAGCTCCTGTGTTGAGTGTCTGCTCCCTAGTGGTCAGTGCACGTCATAGCGAATGGTTGACCAGTTGTTCGGTTACTTAGGCTTTTATATCTATACTAGAGGCCTAGTGTACAAAATTCATGCACAGGGGGAGGACCCCTCAGCCCAGTCTGCACCCTCTCCAATCTGGGACCCCTCAGAGGATGTCCAACTACCAGTTTAGGCCTGATCCCGGACATCCCTCTCACAATCTGAGACTGCTGGCTTCTAACTGCTCACCTACCTGCCTGCCTTATCATTCCTAACTGCCCCCCTCCCCCACCAGCTTGGTTGTCCCTTACTGCCCTCCCTGCCAGCCTGGTCACCCCCAACTGCCTCCCTGCTGGCCTGGTGGCCCCCAACTACCCTCTGCCAGCTTGGTCACCCCCTGCAGCCTGCTGTTCAGTCATTTGTCTATCCCTCACTAACCCCCCCGCCAGCCTGGTCGCTCCATGCAACCTGATATTCAATCGTTTAATTGTCCCTCACTAACCCCCATGCCGGCCTAGTCACGTCACGCAGCCTGCTGTTCGGTCATTACTGTTACTATCATGGTGTCCTGGACAATTTGCATATTCCTCTATTATTAGTATCTTATGAAATAATAGACAAACGTAAATTGACTGTACCTCCACTATGCCCACAGCCAATCAGGAGTATGCAAATTAACCCAACACAGATGGAAGGTTAATTTGCATATGTAGGCGAGGAGTGACTGGTGGGGTGGGGCCTGCTATGAGGGGGAAGGAGGAAGCAGAGAGAGCTATAAGAGTGGTGCTCTGCCAGGAGCAAGGACTTGGCAGCTCCCAGGTGGCTAGGAGGGAAGCCACGGGAAGGGAGGCCTATTCTTGCATGAATATCGTGCAGCAGGCCTCTAGTCTATATATAAAGAGGTAATGTGCAGATTAGGCCAGAATGCCGTAAAGGTCACGACAGTTCAGGAGGAGGGGCCTGGTGTGGGCCCAGAGCCTGAGAGAAAAACGGACAGGGCAGCCACGCCCAGCCTCAGAAATGGAGAGAACAGCAGGCAGGGGGCGGCTGCCAGCCCAGCCCCGTGGCTATGGCCAGAGCAGCAGACACACAAATCCACGGGTGATAAAAAAGAAAAAAGAAAGAAATGTCATATCCTATGAAAGACATCTTGAAAATGCCTAAAGAAAGTTGTCCTTTTTTCATGGTGATGAAAACACCTTAGTGGCTGCGGTGGCTGGCAGTGGCAGCAGCAGCAGGGTGATGGGGTGGTGCCTTCCCCTGATCAGCCTGGTCGCCTCCCACAGAGGGAGGCCAGACTGCAGCTTAGGACATCCTAAGCCTTCAAAAGGACATCCCCTGAGCGCTCCCAGACTGTGAGAGAGGGCAGGCTGGGCTGAGGGGACCCCCTCCCCAGTGCATGAATTTCATGCACGGGGCCTCTAGTAGAGAAGTAAAGCCTACGGGACCTGTATGGTGGAGCGACAGAAAGACTGGCTGGTATGATGCGCACTGACCACCAGGCGCAGACGCTCAGCATGTCAGTGTATTCCCATAGGGTGAGCACTACTCAGCCAGCAGCCAGACTCACGGCTAGTGAGTGCAGTGTGGTGGTAGAAGCCTCTCCTGCCTCCACAGCAGCAGAAAGGGCAGCGAGAACTCAGGTGGTAAGGAGACCCACACCTCAGTGCACGAATTACTAGTACCAGGACTCTAGTATATAGATAAATGACTGCCCACCTGCAAAGTCATAAAGTCATTCTCATAAATTTTGTTGTAGAAGCTTTATAATTTTAGGTTTTACAGTTATGTTTATAATTATCTTGAATTAACTAATTTTATGTAGGTATGAGTTAGTAATCAAAATTCATTATTTCCATAGATATATCAAGTTATTCCATCACAGGCTATTCATAAGATTTTCTTTTCACAATGAGTTAGATTGGCAACTTCGTGGAAATCAAATAACTGTGTATTAATCTACTTCCAAACACTTCATTCCTTCTATTGATCTGTTTGTTCATCCACATACCTATATGGCAATCTCTTTTGTTGTTGTTGTTAGAGTAAGTCTTGAAAGTTCTCTAATGTTGTTATTCCTTTTCAATATTATATGACTAATCCAAACCCCAGATCCTTTGCATTTCCATACAAATTTTAGAATAAGTTTACAAATTTCTTCAAGAAAGTTTTGCTGGAATTTTTGACTGTCAATGTATTCAATTAGGAAGAATTTTCATGTCAACTTTATGAATCACTGAATCAAAGAGGTTAATATATCTCGTTTTTTGTTTAGATGTTTTAAAATTTTCTCTCAGGAATGTTTTGTGATGTGAGAA